ATAGATGCTAGTTTTCTCCTGCTGAGAAGATTTGAAAATCAAGACTTTCAAAATCAGATTCAACTACATCATATTTCTACACTGCCAGGATAAGGCTATTATTAAGAACGTTCAAAGATTGGAACAAACATGTGAAACGCACAATGAATTAAAAACTGTTTAAATAACCAATTTTTATCATGAAACTTAGAATAGGAAAGGAGAGGGAAGTGGTCAATAGATATAAACACGAATTCCGGATCTTGAATAACGGACTGGGAAATAAAGGCTAGAATTTAATTGAATATATTGGTCTCTGGAAGTCAATCGAGATTGGAAGCAGGACATTTGGAAAGATGTGCAAAAGTGAATTGGACGAAGTTCCGACCCAGCTCAGAAGGTGGTATCACACAAGGTCGGAGCAGTCCAAAAAGCGGTCGCTTGTAATTCAGGGTGCTCTTCAAAGCTCCTGTGGGGATCCAGACTTCTTATTCGTTTCGTTTCCACGAGTACCGGACACCTTTCGGTGTAAAATCGAAAAATCTCATCCGGATCCGGATCGAACAGGAGTACATGCATCCCACGCTCAGCTCGTACAGTTCGTCACGTGCGTTGGGATCGATGTGCATGGTCTACTGTTGTCAAGATGCTTTCATCACGTTTTATCTTGCCCATATTTCGACACTACTCTATCAAACCTTGCGTTCGAGAAAACAGTCACAGTTGCACATAGTTTTATGGGATTTATTTCATCCCGTCCAAAAAATTCCACCATGAAAGATGCAAGCTCCCATGCATTTTTTGTAACTCCTGAAGGTCCTAGTGATATGTTAAATCTCAATGAACAAATAGCTAGAACCCTGTTGATCTTAATCAGCCAACCATACAAATGGGCATGGCGATGGCCCTCTTCTAGCCAAGCTCAAATCACTATCTTCTCCTAGTATTGAGAACAGGTGCAATCATATTCAAACCCTAATCTACAATCAAATCCTAAATTGTGGTTCGTAGAAAAAGGGAAGCATTTGGTGCAAAGACACGACACGCATCATAGAAAACTGTAAATTGTGATGAGACACTCGGACACACCAAGATCTAGAAAGCTTCCTTGTAGCCTTTGATGATTTGCAAGAACTGAGGGAATGTTGATGTAAATCTCATAGTTGCAAAAGGGTTCAACCTGCTGACTCCAATCCAGTTATAGGAGAGGATTGTCTGTAAGAAACCCTGTGCATTCGAATCACCTGGTTCATCGCTCCTGGTCAATCTCTTTTCGCAATCGATCCAATATCTATTCTGGAAGACGTGTTGTCTGTCACAAAGGCACCGTGAATCTAGCGAAGGTTACTGAACTTTCCGCGTCGAAAAACGGAGAAATCCGAAGCCACTGCGCGTCTCACTCGAGGCCAAATTCCCTCGAGTCGCTTCTCCTCTCTTCTGTTTCGCATAACTGAATTCCAGAATTCTCGATGTAAATTAATTAAATAAGGAAATAATTTATTCTGAAATATCTGATGGCAGGAATCACCGCCGTGCGGGGAGTGCACCACGTAAGCCTCAGCGTAAGACCGAGCGTAGGGGCCGGCGTCAACGACCATGGTTCACAGTGGCAGTCAATGTCCTACCTCTGCCGGCAATCTGCCCCTATGCGCAACAGAACGGAAAGATGTCTCGCACACGTGTCGGTTCACCGGACTTCAATGCGCCCTGGTTCAACACGACTGCCCTATCTGGAGAGGGACACGTGCCCCCCTATTCTCCCTACCGACCTGGTCCCTCCAGAACTGGGGACAAGCGTTGGAACAGGGAAGACGGGAAAAGATTATTGTTCGAGTTCCATCTGGGACCGGAGTCCAGCTGGACCAAGCTGAAGGCTCGGACGAGGATGTAATAGGACTATATATTTAAATGCCAATTACTGGGCCATGCAGGTTAATACGAGAACCATAAAGTGCCAATTCATTTCAAATATCCAGCAGCAGAGAGCACGATGATGGTGTGATTCTTGAAGCCATGCAGATTGTTGACTGAAAAGACCTTCCCTGCAAAATTCAGGCCGAAGTTGTTTGACGTTGCCCTCTAGTGTGCAGAGGGTACCTTAGCTTCGGAATTTCTTACCGGTTTTCGAGGTCGAAGTCTACACTCGGGTCTTGAGTGTAGACCATACTGTTTTGGAAAGCAGTCTCCAAGTGTCCCCATTCATAATGATTTTTTATGCTAAATATCTTATATATATGAGGGTTCATTTTGTATCTTCGTGATTACATGCTTGTAGGGAAATTCCATCTGGAATTCTAATGTTGTAATCTTCAAGATAATACAAAATTTCTACGCATGTCCAATATAACTACAATGGTCTCGAAAATCTTGAATACATAACTTAATATTGCTGCCTCATAATAAGAGTACGGGTTTGGAAGGTTGTAAAGCAATATTGTTGATGAGCATATCTGGATCTTGAATTTGAATGTTTGAAATTTCATTCATTAATGCAAGAGATTTTAAGAGGGCCAGTAAAACTCTTAGCCAACATTGTTTGCTTGTAGAAACTTTTTAACATTCACATTACTCTCTGTATTGTCTAACTCGAAAATTTACAAAAGTATATCATTTTCAAACAATAATACCTTTGAACCCGAACTACAACAAATGGTGTCTCATTACAGAACTAATCAATTTACATATTATGGACATGCTTGTCATGTAGTTCATTTCCTTAAAGGATGATAAATAACTCATTGACCTATTATATTAGGCTAAGTTGTGAATGTTTAAATCTCTAGCTTTGTCTTAGATGCTTGCAAATTAAAGTGTCATAGATTCCTTAAATGTCTAACTGCTAGAAACATTGTATGACGTTGAAGGAGAATATACATGGAAAGACAATAAAGTCTAAAAAGCTTCTCACATGTTACATAGAAATCTTCTACTTTATTTCAAAGCATTAAATGCATATAGAGGAGAGTACTCTATCAGTTGACATGCATATATTTTCCTCTATTTTGCTCAATCTTCCTATTTACTTTCTTCACAAGGTTTTGTTTTATGCATTTTTTCAAACATTAAAATTTAAATAAGTGAATTAAATATGTAATAGGCATATATGCAGCTTCCTTTTGTGACAATTTGTTAACTATAATTTCATCATACTAGATTTTTTGACTAAGTATAAGAGCATTTAGAATTTTGAAGTGTGTGATGTTTACATGTAAACAACTCTTGTGATTTGACATCTAAACACCTCTTGTAAATTTTGTGTGCCTGATTAGAAACAACTAGAATTGTTACTTTCAAGTGATAATTCTAGTAAATTAATTTACTTTCAACGTAAATTAATTTGTAAAAATGAATTGGTAGAGAAATGAACTTTGGGTGTTGAAAAATAAATCCAAAAATCTGTAGGTATAATATCATCATGATGTTAAAAAATAAAAATAACACTTGTCATTATTGTCCAATCAGTGTTGCATCATATCATGACACAATACTGTGCATCCATGAAAGTTACAGTTGTAAAGATAGTCACTTCACATAGGAGATACTGACTTATAAATTTTTTTTGGCCTGGATTGGTTCTTTCATAGCTTCTTTTACTTGTGTTTTCAACATGCTTTGATCAGGCTACTTTTTTTCAGTATTCTATTCCCTTTAATTGAAGAATACATACATGCATTAAAAGGATATCACCTTTTAATTGCTTATTAATTTCCTAAGCATTGAGTACAAGCACTCTATGGTTACAGGATATTTTATAATAAAGACCTGATGAATTTATTTCTTGTTATCCGAACCGGTCTCCATGTACAAGAAATTGATACTTTTCATGAGTAAATAACGCAAATAGACAATGCTAAATCATTTTCTAGGTTTAATGCGCGACTAAATTTGGATTCTATGAATAATATTTCTGATTCTAAGAAGATTGAGGTCTGAAGAAGCTGTGCATTAAGCTCATAATGCACTTAGAGGATCAAGAATCACGTGATAATCATTGTCGGTACTATTGAAATCTAAATTTCAGGAATTCATGAATGATTTTCTGGGCACACAACCTGGTGTATGCATTTCAGTGCGTATCACGAGGCGACAATTGAATCTTCAGTGTCGGGTGGATTGTGGTGGGAGGATTTCATGGTAACGTGGATATGTGATGAGAGATGCGGAAGCAACAGGAGCCAGGAGTTTCCAGGACGTCCTTGTGGAAGAAATGAGGAGGAGGAAATGTTGGCTCACTGCTAAGCCAGCAGAGTACAGTACCAGCTCATCAGTTAAGTGACTGGCCATTAATCGAAGGCGACCGTGATTGAAGATTATGACTTGGCCGTGTGAAGAAATGATTTCAGAGAACTCTTGTCATGATCTAGATTGGAGTCATGTGAGTACGAGGAGATCCAACAACCGCATTGCACCAAATGAAAAGGGCAGAAAACGCATCACGTAGTGGGTTGGCCAAAACCATTATTTGCTGAGGAAGGGTGCTGAGATCTATCGATGAAAATTCGAGACAGAGACGTTGAGACAAGCACTTACAGATTGGGAATCTTCCGCAACCCTTGCTAATACGGGCGGAGAAGGGCTCCTCACGAGAGGCAAGGCGTATTCTGATTTGTGTCTGTGAGAGGAGATGGGAGGAGAGAGGATCTAGAGCTGAATCAAGCCTCGGCAACAATCTCCTCCACTGCCACAACTGAAGCTGAAGCCAGCCAGACCCAAAGCGCATTCGAGTGGAGACAGTCAACCTAAGTCAACAAGGATGAAAAGGACGGGGGAGGGGGGACTGGCAGGTCATCTCGCCAGCCAGCCGCTGGGAAGACATCACCTGCGCATAGATCCACTACTGCACACTCGAATGTCCTTATCGAGGTCCAGTTCAGATCGCCGGCAAACTAAATGTCACTAATCCAGATGCAGCTGCGAGAAGCAGTTACAGCGAGGGGAATAGGACCCGTGGAATCTCAGTCAAGTAAGACCACGTGAATCTTTCTGGCGTAAGATTGACATCATCAAATGGGCCGAGAGCAATGCTGGAAGTAGAAGATTGGACGCATCGGCATTTCTCTTACGTAGTATTCCTCTGCCTCTGTTCGGAGACGGACACCGGAACCCACTCTTTTGGGGCGGGGCGGGGCCGAGATATTCAGAATCCCCGTGTCAGAGAAGGACGAGAGAGGGGCCCAAATCTAGACTGTGACCGGCTTACCTGTAGAACCGGTCAACCTCCAGAGGTGCGGGGACGAAGCTCGTGTCGTTATCTGGAACCCCCTGCTCTTCAGGGAACCTCCGGGGCTGCAGATTTGCTCGAGCTCACCGACTTCGAGGGGAGGGGGAGGGGCCGAGCAGATGTGCGATTCGGGTGGGACTCTGGCAAAGGCGACAGGCGGATGAGGATGACGAGTGGAGCGAGCCAAGTGCGGAGGCAATTATAAATTAGTATTGTTGCTTTTGTGAACGGAATGCGTGTTACGACGATGTGCTGCAGAGGGAGGGAGAGCCGGAATTCCACGCACTGCCTTTACGTTGAAAGCCCGAACCAGCTCCTCCTCGCTTGACTGCCTTTCTCCGCATGGTCCAAATCCGTCCGGTCCGGCGTAGACTTGCTGGGCCCAGGCCCGGGGCCTCGACTCGGATGCTGGTGCTGGTCGGATTGTGCATAAAAGGCCTACGCGGTTCGTCATGAAGCATCGGGTGCCTATGCGCATCACGAAGACGACATCAGCCTGGCCTCGCACGACGAACTCCTGCCTGCCATTGTTTCGAATCTCTCGCCCCGCCCCCTGCCCCTGCCCCTGCAACGCGTCTGATTGAAAATACAAATGCGAGTTCCCTCTTAGAAACCTTCCACGAGGAGGAGGCAATCAGCGCCGAGCTGGAATGTGAATTGCGGTCGAGGTTCTATGTCGGCTCCCGACAGACCGTAGTCTTCAGAGGTTGCATGAAGTCGTCGATCCATCCCGCATTGTTCGGAATTTCAGCCGCCATCCACTCGGTTCGATAATTGCAGCTGTATACGGAGGCTCGCAGGAATTTTTTCCACGACACTGAGCGAGCGCGCTTGACAGAAGCTATCGCCATGACGATCAGCGAGCCTGTGTCTCAGCAGCCCAAGGTCCAGCACCAATCCAACGGCCATGAAGTGAAAGACGAGAAGAATGCATACGTCGAGGTCCCAGAACAAGGTGCGATCACGAATTTTGTCTCGATGCATTGAGTGGATCTCTTCCTAACTACTTGTTTGACAGTCGTCGAGCTCATTCGCTAATGTGCTATAGGCGCGGATCCGTGGAAGCAGAATTCCGCTCCACGAGCACATCCAATACCTTTCTTGCAGCTTTCCTCCAAGTAGACAATGGTAGCTGGCTTCGAGGATTGATACGTGCGATTGAACCTCCACGAACATGGAAGATTTCTGTCATGAGGAGTCTTCGTAGTCTTCGTACAGGAGCCCTTTGCTGCAGCAGAAATTCCAATCCGTTCTTCTCCAGAAATTCAAATTCTTCGTCGCGGTGCGTCCCCACGCGCTGGAAGCAGTGGATCACGGCTTTTTTCTGGCGGGCATATCGCCTCTCATACATTTCTGAACTTCTTCGGGCTTAGACCGTGTTTTCAGTGCTCCCTGTGCGTGTCCATATTTTAATTACCCGCGGACCGTCGTTCCAGCCAATTCGAGCTTGCCAGATGAATCAGATGAGCCGTTTTTCGTGCCAGTGGTCCTGTCAGTCCCGTGTACAGAAGTACGATCCCATCTGATCGTGCTGCAATGAAGGATTTCATGCGCAATCTCCCGCCCGAATAAACATGTCAGTGATTGCTCAGCTGGTGTCATACAGCTCTGCACGAACAGTTTCGAATTCCTTCAGCCTCTGATCGCTGAGCAAGGATCAGATATCTAACGGACGAGTTTACTTGACGAACCGGAATAGAGGATTGTAGTGTTGCAAGCAGATGAGCTTGGTGACCCCCCAGCTGAATGCAGAGTTGCGTAATCTTTTATGTAGAATGTTGCTGGTGTATTCTGATTCTGATCGATGAGTGAGGACTCAGTTACCCATTGCTCTGATTCCCCACATCAGAGTCTTCTCGATAATTTCAGAGGTTTATCTTCTCGCCATTGATCAGGTGCTCTACATATACGCGTCCAAGCATCTGATTCTGTTCATTTGCTCTCTGGTGCAGGAAATGCAATGGAAAAGCCGCTGAATCCATGGCAGAAGTTCTCGAAGAAGATGTTCCGCATGGAAATGCTCCTGGTCTGGACAGTCATAGGAGTCGTATGTGGTATTTCCCTCGGCGCGGGTCTGTACAGCTTGAAACTGTCGAGGACGGCTATCGCTCTTATTGGTACAATTTCTGTCGCTTTTCTCCAATATCTCGATTTATGCCACTGAGTCACGGCAGTAAGTTCAGTGCCCACCTCTTGCAACAACATGCACATGCTCGGAGCCTGATTATTCTTTTCGGACGGTTCATTGATCCAGGTTATCCCGGCGAGCTTATGATTCGGGCTCTCCAAGAACTGATTCTGCCGCTCATGGTCTTCGCACTCATGTCTGGGGTCTTCGCTCTCCGCGCCACGAAAACGGGGTAATTCCCTCCTCCTCCTTCCAACAACATGCGATTGTGGTGAGTTTCCGGATTTTTAGAGCCCAAGTTCCTCAGCCGCCCGCCTGCACGTTTGTGCACTCGAGGTGGATCCAAACATGGATCAGAATGCCCTTGTGGTTGACGTCGAGCCATCGGCATGGCAAGGAGGCATACACAATTTCAGCTCAGCCGGTTATTCTCACGAATCGTAGTTTCGGATTTGATGTCAGAAGAGCGTCGAGATGGTTACGATTGGCAGTCCGAGAGCACAAAAAGCTGGGCTGGTTCTTGATTTGGTGTATTCTGTGGATGATGTCCTCCTCGAGCTTCAGTCAATACGACTGTTGTTGCATCAACTTACAGTCCCACTTTGTGATTGTGTTGACAGGAGCGGTAAGGTGACTAGATGGGCACTCACGTACTACATTCTGAGCATGTTCATCGCTATCATCATCGGAATCGCTTGCGTGTTTACCATTAATCCTGGAAAGAGCCGACCTTTCGAGAATCCTGGCTCGTCTGCTTCCTGTGCTGCGGAGAACACGGCAGCTGTACAAGACGCGTAAGTTCATGCAACCCGTCTGTTACCTCGAATCTACGTTGTCCGTCCGTCCAGTTTCGGATTCATAACCCTTCGTTTGACACAATAATCGTTCTTGATTCTGATCACAACAGGAACGACACTGCTTCGAAGACCACTGTGGACTCATTATTGGACCTTGGGCGGGATCTGATTCCAACGAATATTGTAGGGGCAGCTGCTGAGCCCAATTATCTGGGAGTGATGGTGTTTGCTGTCACCTTCGCCGTCTTTCTTGTCAAAATTGGTAAGCTACATTTGCAACTTAAAGCTTTCCCTTGTGTACATCCATGAAGAAGACCATCTCGGGAGGACAGAAGATGGCCTTTGAGGGGACCTCTTTCTCGGTCATTATTTGAATAGCCTCTCATCAAAGAATGAAATAAATCATTTGTTCCACTTTTCTTTGGTTTAGCAAGTTTCCCATCACTGTATTTGAAATTCTGTTTTAAGAAAGAAAGAAAAAGGGAATTTTTTTCTGTGAGAACTATCAGTCGACGATGGTTGAGTGCACCAACCTGGTTGTGGTCCAGAACCTCAAACGTGATGGATCTGGACAAGTGACTGCTGGATGTGGTTGATCGATCCATTATAGCTACTTCTGATCATGGGAAAGCTAATCCTATATCCTTCCATTTGAGCGCAGGCGAAAGGGCTGAACCTTTAATGAAAGGTATCGAGATTTGCAACGACGTTGTCATCAAAATTGTAAGTATGAATCGTTGATGCATACGCATGTCCTGCTCTGGGGTAGTTCGGAGCAGCACGCAGTACTTGAATGAAAAGATGTAATGAAGAAACATTTACTAGCTTCAGTGAGTATGGTACAACGATCGTCATGTTCATGATCGGTACTCAGGTTTCTGTATCTCAAAGTTTGTCTCAGGTCTTGAGATAGCATCTTAAGACCATGAAAAGTGTCTCACATCTGTCGGCGGTTGGTGGTGATTGTAACAGATATTTTTGGTCATCCTGATCACACCCATCGGTATTGCGTCATGGATAGCGACGACCATATTGAAAGCCTGTAGCATCACCCACTTGCTCAAGTCTCTCGGACTGTTTGTGGTCACCGTTTTGACAAGCATCGCGATACACTTCTTCATCGCCTTACCTCTTACTCTTCTAGTCCTGTCCAGAACAAATCCTTTTAAAGCTTTCAAGTAAGTTGCAAACCTACTTGCAAACTTTCAAAAACTGACTTCAATATGATTCCAGATTGAAAAATTCCTCACTTCGTTTAGTAGAATATTTGACAGTTTTACAGCTTTATATTTGGAATTCTCGGAAGAAAAGACCACATCTTCTTCCTGGGTACTGACCGACAATACTTTGCACAGATCTTGGTTGCCAGCCTTCGCCATGGCACTGGGAACGTCGTCCAGTGCAGCTACAATGCCCGTAAGTATGGAATGCGGAATAAGACACGGATGCAATCCTGCCATCGTCAACTTTGTTCTGCCTTTGGGCACGAACATCAACCGTGATGGTACTGCGCTGTACGAGGCCATCGCAGTTATTTTCATTGTTCAGGTACCTATAAATTCTTATTCGCACGAATTGAAATAACATGACATTGGAGAACCAGTAGATCCAGAAATAATTTTGCTCCTTTTCCGCATGAAATTATGAATCTCAGTCCGTTCAGATTAGACTGTGGCATACTAGCTTCATGCATACCTATTCTAGATCTGCATTGGTCTCGACCTCAGAATAGACTTGACTGAGTGATTGGCTCTAGGCACCGAGTGATTCTACTGGCAACGACGTTAGAAGCTCGGTGATATTGATGTATGTACTTGGACTGCTAAAAATTGGATACCCGCTCCTTGACTAGAGGAAACTCGTGGCATTCTCACCGTCGATGGTTTGTGGAGTGTATTTATTTTTTTTGGTTCTTCTCCATGTTCCAGGCGCATGGAGAATCACTGTCAGTCGGACAAGTGATTGTTATTGTCATTGTAGCCACGCTTGCGGCAATCGGAACAGCCTCTATTCCCCATGGAGGTCTTGTGACGTTGATCACGGCTTTGCAGGTACTGCCACAATCACTTTTCCTAATGCCTTCGAAAAAGCAATGTCATGCACAATATTTGATTTCATGCGAAGATGTTCTCATCACTGTACCTCAATTCGGAGAGATTTCTCTGCATGCTAACACTGGCTTCAAGTGTTGAAGTTCTTCTAGCGGTGCTAAGTAAGTGCAGTAAGCTCTTGATGTGGCCCCTCATTCAGTAAATCTTTTCGTCTGTATTTCAGGCAACAGGAAATGCCAAGTACTTGGCAGATCTGTCACTGCTATACGCTGTCGATTGGATACTGGGGATGTTCAGAACTATTTGTAATGTTTGGGGTGATGCGTGCGCTACGGTTGTGGTCAACTCCTGGTTGATCAAGTACGGCAAAGATGTAGAAGTGTCCGCTTTAGAGGTATGTTCCACACTTCCACGATCTTGCCATTCAGGCGGATTCCTGTTTGAAGACTGTTGTTCTCCTGCTAAATCCTAATCTCAGGCAGTCAGTATCTCGGCTTGAATTTGTGTGTAAACAACCGAGCTCGATTGCTCTGTGAGGTATGATTATCTCCGAAACTCGACAGTGACAGTGCTTTGCGCTGTCCAGAATCCCGAAGATGCGAAACTAGAGGAGGGAACACTCGCACAGAAGGAGTCTCTCGTTCACGGAGCAAGGCATGCCGATTGAGAAGGCATGTTGTGAACCTTATCGGCCAAAGAGACGAAATTGAAGTCCCATCTTCCTTCAATCTGGTGGCAGACATAAGCATCATCCACACAATCGCCCGAGAAATACTATCGACTCTCTAAGACGTCTTGTAAAGAGAAGTAACATCTCCAACGAGGGATATATGTACACTAACTAATCCATGGTCCAGTACCGCAACAAGTAAGAGTTCACTGAGCGACAGAGTTCTGATTCTTCCAAATCTGGACAGTCTCAGAGACCCGATGGACGACCGACTGCTGCTGAAGAGTTGCATGTCTATTCTTCTTCAGTCGAGCAAAATGTTCCATGGATTCGACACGAATGTATGAATAGATAGGTCCATTCTGTTCTCAATTTTAAATCAGAGTTCTCAGAAATTAACTGTAGTTTACACCGTACCAACATGGGGACGGACGGGAGGTGAATATAGAGGGTTTTTTTTTGGGGCAGAATCAGAATTAGCCTGCAGTTTTTGTGTTAGTAACGTGGCAGCACAGAGAATCTTCTATGTATCCACAACTGAAGATTTGCACAAGGATCAAATAGCGAATCTGAAATGTAAATTTACTGCACACTTGACTCAATGTCAAGAAATGCATTTATTTTGAAGAACTTTTGCAATAATAAAAATTCTCGCAAAACAATTCTGGCCCAAAGTTTCTTCAAGAGTAAATGGCGTGGATCTTCGTTAGCTTGTGTTGTTGCTTCCATTACCATATCTACAACACTTTCTGACTACTTTGGCCATAAATTTCTCTTACTCATAACTTGTGTTTCAAGATAGTCCATTCCATGTCCGTTGATTTACGCTATTTGTACATGAAAGCTTATGTCATTGGGGTGGGTTGGGAGCTAGTCCCATGCTGCACGTTGAACTCATCTGCCACTTCAGAGAGTCTTCCTTTCCTTTGAGTGAGAATACATGCATTCGTAAAGCATTTAGTACGTTTCGTATCTAGGTTTGTTCACTGAACCCTTGATGTCCACTTTCAGTTCCACTTGATAGCCTTAGCTCAAGGTTCAATAATTAAACATAAATCAACCTCGCTCAAATTATGTTATGTTTAATTTAGTTAATCTAAAGAAAATCATTCACCCACAATAGGATGTCTGGTAATAATATTGGGTTCTCAAAATCATAATTGAGTTGGGTGAAATTTATATTAAATTTAAGATAATAACACATTCATGGTTGAATAATGTAATCTCTTGTATCAAAACTAATGCATAATTTCATTCTCATGCAATAGATATAATTTAAACAAGCTAAACAACAATGTTACATTTTTGAACCAAGAAAAATAATTCCAAACCTTTTGAATTCCAATGGTATATATTCATTATCTAATGTTAGAGTGAGAAACCGCGCTAAATAGCTAGATAGAGTTTAACTTGCCCAACCCTTGAGGCTATATACATCAATGCGTTAGTCTATATCAAGTACACCTCCAGGTTTGGATTTGGTCCGGGTTCATTTTGGGCAGAATATGTACCATCAAATTTATCCCACCAGAGCGTATGAGATATATATATATATCTATATCTATAAATAATGTGCATGCTTTTATTCAACAGCAAGAGTAAAGATCAGAGAAGTAACGCGTCTACTTCTCCTAGACAAGCAGATGGGTCCACCCTTATCCCTCATCTCCAGAGTTAACGACATGAAGAAATGTTTGCAGCAAACAAGATTGTACACCAAATGAATAGATTTCACCAAATTAGGAGTAGATATAGCACTGAGGTGAAACCCGGCTCCACCGAACAATTCAATACCTTCTGAATTCACATGTGTAATATCCCGTCGCATTCAAAACTAATTTGTTTCACTCCTGTTCATAGCAACGGGGCAGACTTACAGACATGCGTCGTGGAATGCAAGATGAGGTTCGAATGATAAGGATGGGAAATCTTCTCATCTTTTATTCAAATCCCTTCATGAATATTAACGTCAGTCATAAAAGTGTAGTGACCTCCTATGGACCCCACTTTTTCTTAAATACTGATCCACAACGTTTCTCCAGAAATTTCTTGAGCTGGCTCAGACAAAGCTTTGAGTCACAATTTTCAGCGCTTAAAGAATGTCTACACGGTCACTGGTCATGCACAACCTTCCAGCAACACTTATCTAACAAAATACATTATCAGCTCTCCAGTTAATTCCATGGGCCCCGATACGGTTGACACCTACATGTACAAACTCAACTAGCAAGTGAGGTCACCGGGTTCGAAAACATTTGTCTGAGACGAGGCTCACATGAACTCAAGTTGTGAGCCTTGAATACATGGGAAGCATATTACAAAGAGTACAGGTAATGGTGCCAACGGCGTTCAATGAGGTTTGTTGGATCAGTGTTACAGTGAAAAAAACTGCAGCTGTGATTATTTTAGCGACCACTATTAGAGTATTCAGACGCCTCCGGGTGCTTTGGAATTTCGCCATTGATTTCAGAACTTGGTCACTGTAGGTACACAGTTTTGAAGAAGGGACGGGAGGTGGAGCTAAATCATCTCGCAGAATATCTAACACTTGCCTCATCGTCGGTCCATTATGTGAATTCGGATGATAACACGAGAGACCCAAAGAATCTAGTATTTGAACCTTTGTTCTCATCGCACTGGCCCTTCAGTCCTGGATCTACCACTCTGAGGAGCTCTCCCTGACCCAGTTTCTGCCACACCCGATCCACAAAGAGCCAACCTCCCACAGATGATCTGGAAAGACACATCCTTGATGTTCCTCTTCTCGGTAATTCTTCATGCAAGGGCACCTCGGGGTCTATGTACCCAAACGTTCCGGCCACGGAAGAGCGATCCACCATCCGAGCCAAGCCAAATTCAAGTGTCCCAGCATTCAATTACTGGTCTTGGAATCCCGGTAAATCATCTGCTGTCGCCAGCCTTCGTGCAGATAGAACAAGGCAACTGCAGCTCCAGAAGCTATGATTCTGAACCTGAAATTCCACGAGAGCAGTCAAGTCTTTCCACCTGGTGCGTTGTAGAGAGCCTTGTCAAGCTTCCACTGGGCATGAGTTCATACACCTGCAGGCACTTGCCCTCGTCACTGCACCATCCCAACAGCCTGAATATGTTTTGGTGCCGCGGCTGGCTGTTTATGGACACCTCCGTCACAAAGTCCTTCTCACCCCGATGCAATTCATGGCTCATCCTCTTCACGGCATCTATCCTCTATACAAACACACTTCCCAATCCTCCGTCCCCGAGCTTGCAATCCTCTCATAACTGGGCTATGGCAGCACACAGGGCCTTGTGGCTAAATCTAAGACTCTGAAAATCCCGCCAACACCAGCCCCAGCTGCTGCTGTGTTGCGTTCTCATGCTCCTAATTCAATGCAACATAAGACTTTACTTTTCCCTTGCGACAAAAATATAGTATCAGCTGAGAGGGAACATCTCAACAGCAGCGCCTGCAATCAACCGTCCCAAGGATAGAGCAATTACAAGCTCCAGTCGCAAGCGGTGTAGAAATTTAACAAGTGCAAAATCCGTTCTATCTTAAAAAGCCGATGCCTTTTTTTGTCTGACAGGGTTTTTCATTTCTGAGAATTCCAAAGGATTCAAAAGTTGACCTTTTTATGTTCAACTCACCAAAAGATTTCTAATTTGCGATAGGCTGGAACAATTGTCAATCTATGCATATTAACCAACAAATTGAACAAAAGCGATTATAAAATTTGGACATTATAAATAGCTCGTCCCCATGTCCCTGTACGAGAAACTTCTTAAAGAATTCTAATCCTTAAAGCCTAAAATGAGCAGACCTTCATCATCCATCCCAGATTTTCTCATCGGGGAGTATCTAAAGAGGCTTCGCATTAGATGTCTTCTAATATGATGAATTACTGAACCAAGACTGGCATCGGGCATAAACCTCAAGCCTCAGATTCCGAGTCGTTATGGGAGAGGAATTCGAGAGAAAGTGCTGTCCATTTCGAGGTAGGGACGCACGAAATTTTTAACGAGGTCAGTTTCGATCACTGTCAACCTAGAGTCTGATGATGATAATAATGATGTTTCAGTGATTAAACAGAATAAGTTTATAACAAAATGAAGTGATTGTTTTGTTTTAGCAGTTGGACGTTGTCGATTTGATACGTAACACAGAGTTGCAAAATACTCTCAATTTAGAAACTACCTTCAGAGTGAGTGTATGAGCTTGACTCTTCCAATACTAACTGCTGGAACGATAATAGTTAATCCACCTCCTTCAAATGCAGACTTAATTCCTCAATCTATCTTGAGAAATCTTATATTCTCAAACCTTAGTCATTATCCAATTATTTCAAAGTAAAAATTAAATTATTTACGAAGACTTCAATAATGTATTAGTCCAATTCTTTTGAAGCATGGATTAGAAATTCAATTATTACAAAAGATTAAAAAATTAATCATATTGTCAAAAAAGATTCATGGTTATCAGTGGAATTATCATTCAATTTTGGACTACTAATTTTTTGTTACAACTGAACATTCTCTCTTGCTGTCATACCAAAATCGTAGGAACTTTGTAATCCCATTAACATCTATGTGACTCTTAGGTACCATTTTTTTCACAGGTAATGTCTGTGAATTGTTAATGAATATCTCAACCACCTGTGGGAGTAAAGAGATTTTGAGCAGAAAATTTAATTTAACACCTCTTCAAGATTTCGGCCTATCCATCTGAAGCAACGCAGAGTTGTGTGGGTGGAGTTGGAGTCGTGGAAATGATGACCAGTCTAAGTTGTATTATGCCTCACTTCATCTTCAGACATGAAAAGGTTTTTATGCATGTAACCTTACGTGCAGTTTGTAGTTACACAATAACTAAAGTAATGTGATGATAAATATGCTCAACCACTTGATCATACTCCTTAGTCTCTCAAGAAAGAATTGATAGCCACTTGAATGACTTTGTTTTCATTTCGGGCTGTTAGTTATTTATCCCCGTCTAGCAGTTGACATCCTTTCGGAAAGATAAACTCTGTAAAGAAGACTTTAAACTGACTATCAATCTCCATTTCAAGAAAAGTACAATGACAAATTTCCAGCACATTCGTCACAAACGACGTGTTGGGAGGACTTTTGAAGATTGCTCTCAAACAGAAATGTCCCTAACGTTTGAGTCTTAGTACGGCGAAAGAAGAATTGTTTCTCTACAGAAAGATGCAGCTAGCGGAAATCGGCGACCACTTTCTCTTGGAAGTAATAATGTCATTCAAGAACTCCCGTAAGTGGGAATCCTCGAAACAGCTTCGGATAATTGTCCGAACGTTATACATGAATGGCTTCACTGTTACACTCTCTAGTCTCACTATTCCTCGTTCGTCCGCGGCGAGTGCGACTTTAACCCATAAGTGAACAAGTATCTCACTGCTCGTGATGACCTATATTACCAGTATTATCTATACCAGCAGTAATAAAAACATCACTCGCACGGACCGTGTGCAGCGACCGTGTGGGACCATCACTGGAGCGACCGTGTGTCCAGCACATAGCGAACTATTCTTTCGCCTTTTACTAAAGAATACCGTGCGCGGGACACAGAAGCGGTCTAACACAATCTTTGGAACGCCCATTTATTCGGGCACCACCATTATTATGAAAATCGCATGGTTTCTGATTGTATCTGATGTCTCGTTCCCATTCAC